TTACTTTACATGCTAGAGACCCACTAGGTAAAGTTTACAAGTAAGCCCCAGTTGAACACTATTTATCACATTTCCCATTAATCCAATCTTAAATAGTATCTGGATCTACATTACAGTCATTAGTACATGTTGATGAACCTTGCAGAAAATATCCTTCTTAACATGTGTTACATGAATTTGATGATCCATTCGTACAAGTAGCACACCCAAGAGCACAGGCATAGCAATTACGTGTAGAAACTTGGTTATAAGTTCCTTTTGGACAACCTAATTCATGACATTATTTCTGAGCATCATATCTGTAATAATTATTTGAACAACTAGCAACGCAATATCCATTTTCTTAATATTTTATGCAAGTAACAACGCATAAATTATTAAGTGTATCTTTATAGGGAATATCATCAGGACACTCGGTAGAGCAAGTAGTATTATGTAAATAAAATCCTGGATTACATTCACTACAAGTAGTCGAACAGGAATCAAAACATGTTTTACATGCTTCCGTGCATTTGCCGCATAATCTGTAATTAGTATTCTGTATACAGTAAGGTTCTTCTGGTTAAATATCAGTACATTAGCCTTTATATTAAAACTAATTATATAAGCAGGTTGAGGAACAGAATTTAGTTAGTTTAAAATCTTCTTTAATAAATTCATAACCAGATGTAGCATAAAAATTGCTTGGACAAGTATCGACGCATTTCCAATTTAATAAATCATAATACTTAGCACCACAATCTAGCACACACTAATTATTTAAGAGAAATGTTTTATCATAACAGGATAAATATTGATTACTTTAGGGACCAGAACACGTCATGCATTTATAAAGCAATTATAACACTATTACCCTATGCAAAATGCTCCAGTTGTGGGAGGATTCTGAAAGCATTGACCATTGAGTACATAGGTAAATATAGAAAATATTTCCCCACAAAAGGAGACACAGGCTTATATTTTAATCTCATTAAGAGTAAATCCATTAGAGCATGAGCCTTCGCATTGATTATTCATGTAATTCTTAAATTTAGATTGGCAAGAAGTGAAGCAACTATTGTCTTAAAGAAAAATGCCTGGCCAGCATTTATTACAAAAATTGGCTGAGTTTTAACAATCCTAACAAATTGAGTTGCATTTTGAGCATTAATCTGTGTTTTATTGAAAATAATATTGATCATCACATGGATACACACAAGTATGAGGCTTCGTTTAATGTAAATAAGTTTATTACTTCTAATTAATCTAGATTGAGCCACATTTGTTTTTGAAGCATTGTCTAATAGAATATCCGTCAATATTAGCGTTATCATATAAATAATCATTTGGATCACAGCTAGTTAAGCAATGATTTACATCATCTTCATCAATATAGAGATACTGTGGATAGCATGTTATAAGACATTTATTTTAGTTTAGAATATAATGATTTAGACTACGAGTGCAATGTGTTTAACTTGTGCATGTTTAGCAAACTTGAGGGCAATCAACGAATATGGTTTTTGGTTAGTTAGAATCATTGTTAGTCACTAAGAAGTTATCTGTAATTTGAGAATATGGTAGGCATACTGAATTATTATAAATAGTATAGCCACCTTTACAACTCTTCACACATTCTAATTCCTATGTTAAATATGATGGTGGGCATTCTATTTCACAAACCATTGTATCTCTATTATTATATTTAAATATTTAAGATTATTACAATCCTTCACATAGGTTGTGTCATACGAACTAAAGAAATAATTTTTATCGCAACCCAAACATTGAATATCATTGGCACAAAAGCAATATTTACAAGGTGAGTTGCATTTTTCCCAATCATTCCATCCTGCTCCGCGCCAATCACATTTTTAGTACTCTTAAGTTTATTCTTTATCACTTAGACAATAATGGCCAATATCCTTTTCGCTATAATTGCAATTGTTTGTACTTCTACATAGGTATATAGGGGGTTATTCTGTATTCGAACAATTGTACTTGTATCAATATTTTCCTATACACTTTTTTAAGCAAATTTAATTTGACTATAAATATTAGCCATCTT